TTCATAGACCGTAAACCCATTTCCGACCGTAAAGTCACCAGATCTTCAAAGGCCGTAAACTCAGTTTACGACCGTAAACCCTGTTCACGGCCGTAAACTGTCTGTCGACCGTAAACACCTTTTAAGTGGTGCAGTTGTCCGAAAACCCACTTTTCCCGATTCGATCAAGTCCCGGTAACATTCCTTAACCGAAAGCAAGTGTTTCTCTATTACTTTATCTAACGAAATCGCTAATTTAGATACATATATGTATTTATTTGATAATAGGATTCCGTTAAGTGCCACGTACAACAACCCGAGGATCTTCGTTTCCGGTGGACGTTTTCACACAACCACAGTGAGTTCATACCCCTACATTTTCTGTGTTTTTAATGTTTTCAGGGGGGAATACAAGCCAAACTCAAAGTATTTTATTAAGTTTTAAACTTATTAATACAGTCCAACGATTCCACGTTTAATAACCTACTCAGATATTTTATCCCTTTTGTTATATGTTGAGCATAAGGGAAACTGTTATTTTGGAAATCTAACTTCATATCTTCCAAAAAGGTTTTACAAAACATTTTCCATAACAACCCTAATAAACTATAACGGGTATAGTTTGGGATAACCCTCTAGGCAGTTTCAACCAAACCAGATTTCATGGATGAATATATATAAACTATGGCAGATTTGGTTTATGTTATATGTCTTCTTAGAAGTATAAAGTACATTTATTGAAGGATAATCACTGTTTTATACTATTTCTAGCAGGTAAACAAGATTATACAGAATTGTGAGGCTCTACTTCAATACTGTACCCTTAGGTGTACAGGGATAAATCATTTTAGTATAACCAGAGTCTTCTGGAGGGAGAGCGTGAGATTTGTGAATAGATCTATTCGGGACTGACAATCCCACACCTGAACTGCTAGCTACAGTTAGGCGGGCACACTTGGGGTGAACAAATATCATTTAGCTTAACGCCTGAAGAACGTTATTAAGGTCTCTCGGTCATATCAAGTATGGTTATACGACTCGCAAAATAAGTATAAACTAACTTTGGTTTACGGACTCTAATCTTCATTTGTTTTGTTTTAGTAATAAAACTACCTTCATATATACACTGTTAGTAATCAGGGATTTCAAAACTTACATCTCTACCTCTAAGACGGATAACTTGCTTTTAGGGAAAATATGGGATTTTCCCAGGATAACACTGGCATTTCTAAAACTGATGATTTATCTTCTACTAATAGATACTCTTTCAACACTACTTTTCATAAGAAAATATGGGATTTTCTTGAGGAACACTTTTCAAAAGAATCAAAGAATCTCTTCCACCAAAACTAAATACTTATGAACTCACCAGCTTTATGCTGATATTCTTTCAAACTGCTTGTATTCTCAGGAAATCAGTAAACAGGTACTCCTTGGATTTAGAGAAGCCGAAGCAATAAGAGTCTTGTTTTTATATTTTTACATACTTTTGATGTACCTAAAATAAGTTTTCAAACTGATGTAAACATTTTACCTATATATGTATCCACTATATTGGTTGTGTTGCTATGTTTCCTATTATTCATTGGTTGTGATGCTAAACATGACGTCCTCCACCCCGGAACGATTCCGCCATTCTGGTTTCGGGGTGTGACACAGAACTTCTAAGTTGAAAGCTCTTCTTCTCGGGGCCTTCTGGCGCTCCGGGACTCGCTTCTAGCACCTAGGAGATGCTAGGGAAAAGCCTTGAGGGTTTGGCGAGGTTTGAGAGAGAATGAGTTAGAATGGTGTGAGAAATGGAGTGATTTGCGCCTCTATTTATAGGCTGTGAAATTGTGCAACCCGGAGTGTTGAAGTGCCAGGTGTCGCGATCTCATGTGAAGCCGTTGGGAAGTAGGTGTGGTTGAGATGGTGCCACGTGTCACCTCTGGAACTTAATAGAAAAGTTAATTATCTTCTAAAATCCGTAACTTCCACATATGATCTTCGTTTTTGACGTTATTTATATCCACGCGTAGGTAGCGACCTGATCTACAACTTTCGTTTAGACTCCGTCGGCTAATTTTGACTTTATTTTTAAAGTTATATTTTAACAGGCTTAGACAGTTAAAGTTCGTTAAAAATTCATAACTTTGTCATCCGACGTCCGTTTTCGAATGTCTATATATCGTTGAGCTCCTATTAACGAGATCTTCAATTCTTGTTTGGGTTGTGTCGGCTAAAAATCGATCGATCTGAAATTCGATTTTCGGGCTGTATATTGTTATGCAAAATCTTAGAAAATTCATAACTTCGTCAAATAAAGTCAGATTTGGACGTTTTCTATATGCACGCCCTCGGTTTGACATATATATGACTTTCGTTTAGATTGCTAAGGATAAAAAGTATTTTGTCAAAAATTTGCTTTTTACGATACGCGGAGCCATGCCGATTTTGTCGCAAAAAGTTCGACGGGTCATAACTTCTTCGTTATAAGTTGGATTTCAGCGTTCTTTATATGTACGAAATCTTTGTGACATATACTATACTTTGGTTAAAATTATTTGTTCTAAATAATCTTCTATCAAAAAGTCATTTTTAACGTTTATTATCTCTAAATTGATTAGCTCGAATCTACGGGCGTTACAATATACACTAAAGTCCCAATATTTTTCAACGATTTGACAAGAAAGTCCTAAACTGTTTTAATTTTTGACAGTAAAATCCTAATTCACGATTTGACAAGAAAGTCATAAACTTTATTTTTTTTACAGTAAAATCCTAATTACCGATTAACCGGCAAAAATGGTAAGCGTATCAAAAACTGTTAGTAGTTAGGACTTTAATGTCAAAAAAATAAAGTTTAGGATTTTCTTTGAAAATATTGGAACTTTAATGTATATCTCTCCAAAAAAATAAGAAGATTGAAATGATATTTATAGAGTATTTTATAAATAATTGAAGCAAAAATAGGAATCGGTTGGTAGTCGTTGGGTAACGATCAAATGGTGGGAGGGGGGGGGGGGTGGTAGTCGTTGGTGCCGCTTGGGACACCCTTGGTACCGAATGACCATAACGGTGTTCCTGTTGGTAGTAAAATTTGATTTTTTTATAGCATTTTTATTAATATTATTTTTGTTAATTAAAGCATCAAAAGTGTATCCAAATTCATTTTCTTTGTTATTAATAATGATTGGTGAATTTTCTATTTCTTGAGACATATTTAACAGATTGGTTTTGTTATTTTATCTTCTAGATTTTTTATTTTTTCTTGTTTCCAATTTATACTATTATTTATTATATGTATTGCTTAGTATTGGATATACAATTAATTATTGATATGTTAGAATCTATTTTTAAATTTAAAAGAAATTTTTTAAATTGTTTCAATGTTTTACGAAAAAACTTTAATTCTTGTTTAATAATATTTAAACTTGAAAAACTCATGATTATAATTTTTAGAAACAAAATTATAATTTATTTTTTCTTTCAAAGTTACGATTTATAAATTCTAATAAGATGTTGATGGTGGGGTTTGTTATTACTATTATATTTATGATACTTACAGTTTTTCATACAGAGAATTAAAAACTTTTTTGACATATGAAATGTGTTTCTAACTTCTTGGTACATAGTAATAATTGTAAAAAACCTTCTGACGACATATGTTTAAATTGTAGGTGGATAGTAGTATTTGATTTTATTAATGAGTTTATGATGATAACTTATAAGGATGAATGTTTGTAACGATGAATATTCATAGTAATATATATGATGATGCATGATGAACATATATTTATAAAAAGATGAATATTCATAATAAGAACGATACTTAGCTCTGATACCAAAATTAACGACATGACGGAATTAATAAATATTAGGATAGGATTATACCTGAATGATGCGTCGGGATGGATTGACGATGAATTGTTTAAATTATATGAATGATTATATGAATAATCTTGGTTATGTTTGGATAGGGCTCTGCTATTCAGAAATAGAACGACTATTTCAACAGAGGAAGAACTTTGAGATCAACTCAAGTCTTAGACACTCAAACTTAACTTGTTTATTTCATACGGGCAAAGACCCTATTTATAGGCTGAAGAGAGTCGGTTACATAATTGAGTTGCAATCGTATGATTGCAATACGACAAACATATATATTTACAATATAGCCCCCTAGACTATTGAGGGTCTTATACTTTATTCTACCGACACTTACACTACTTTATATTACATTGACAATAATAATTATAAAAGACAAATGACAAATAATTACAATTCCTTCCACAATGAAAGGACGTGTGTCTTTAATAATGTCTTTAATACGTTATTGCTTTCGTCATTCCTCCCGCCACCGAAAGGAGTATTTTATAAATAATTGAAGCAAAAATAGGAATCGGTTGGTAGTCGTTCGGTAACGATCAAATGGTGGGAGGGGGGGGGGGGGGGTAGTCGTTGGTGCCGCTTAGAACACCCTTGGTACCGAATGACCATAACGGTGTTCCTGTTGGTACTTACCCCATTGTTCCACCTCCCCTCCCTTCGACAATTGACATCAATCTTAGATGTAGTTTGTGTTTCTAACGATTAAAGTTTGTTTAAAACCAATCCATCTTTGGATTAATTGTCATCTTTCAAATATAATATATATGCTTATCATGATAAAACATAATCATATATTTAGAACTTGTTATTAGCGTAGATGAATTGGATTTAAATATCTGTATATGTATAATCATAAAGCCAATCATATCTTAATAATTTCCAACTAGCAACATACGTTCATTTTGGCAAAATTCACAATATTTGCATGTGCTATCAATCACTTAAAAGAACCAATGTGTTTTTTATTTTTTTATTACAAATTTATTATTGCTTTAAAAGATATTATAATAATGGTAAATAAATAGATAGTTGGAATTTATTTTAGGATGAGTAGGGTAGCGTAGGATTATAGTATATATAACCAACCTATTTCTCTTTTATGGTATCTCCATTTCCATTTTCATTTCCATTCCACATTCTTCCAAGAACAAATGGTTGGAGATACTGAATCCATGGCGATTGCTTCCATGTGGGCTTCCATGTCCTCTTGGTGTTCACCCACACCCACGATGCTGTTTTGTATTATGAATCTCATTATTGCCACCATTTTCATAGCTTCAAAGACCAACAACACAAAACACCATGACCATGTTCAATGGAATTCATTCGGTCCAATCGGAAGAGTGTCTTCGTTCCTGGAGCGATCAGCCAGATCTGTGAATTTATCCTCCTACACCACCACCATTACCACCACCGTCGCAGAATCACAACACCAGTGTCCGTCTCCCAGCAAAACGGCAAAATACAGTTCGTCGAGTCGACTAGCTCAGTCCATTCATTTCCCTTCTGGTGACGAAACCCGGTCACCCCTTCGGTCCAGCATATCATCACCACCGGAGTTTTCCAACGCCGGCGATGAGATGTCTCAATCAGAGTCGGAACGACAACCGCGGAGTCAAAATGTCCGTGCTCCGTCTCTATTGGAACGAGTTAAGTCCGTTAACTTCTCCTCCGTTTACAGCGATAACACGGTTCAAACCGAGTCTAAACAGATCTGCAACTCACCTGCTCAACTCGCCCGACCCCCATCATTCTTCGATCGAATCAAGTCGTTCAAAATCTCCTCCGCTTTCAAACTCGGAGCTCCTTCTACTCAGCCGGAAAATCTCGAAACGGAACCAGCCCATAACCCGGACCATCATGTGATCAAGAACAAGTCTGAGAAGACTTCGGCGAAGAAGCCGCCTGTCGAGATGAAGAAATCACGTAGCGAGATAATGATCTCATCGGACGACGACGAGGACGTTGACGTACGGCGACCGGAGACAGCGAGAGTGATGAGGAATGCTGATGACAAAGAATTCGATTTAAAAGCCGATGATTTCATCAGCAGGTTTAAGCAACAGCTTAAATTACAACGAGTTGAGTCGCTTGTGAGGTTCAGAGATATGCTGAACAGAGGAACTTAAATTTATTGTGATTTTTCATTTTTGACGCCTAACTGTAAACCTCCCACACAGTCGGTGAACGGTGGAGAGGAAGGTGGTGGAAGCCTCGAAATCACAAATTTGGACTTGTCCTTTTGTTGTACTGTCATTTTCACATGTGTCATGGCTAGTTAATATAATTTATGACTTCCTTTTTCTTTTATATTACATTTTCTTAGATCTTAGACGTTTTGTTAATAGTTAAATATTACTATATTTAATTATTTTTACTAGACTAAATCACATAAATGGTTTGTACATTATTATTTTTTTCTTTACACAAGTTATATTTAGGTCATAAGGAGACTCCTAATGTTAATGTGGTGTTTAGATGAGAACAACTGGTGTTTTGTTAACCATTGACATTACCTCACACCTACACCGTCCACCATCGTCTCCACCCCATTCCACCACACTTCCTCCACCATATTTGCATTCATCTGACCATTGGCACGTGGTTCAAAACCTCCACCAGTGTACACCTCTCCTTGACTGCATATGACCCACAAAACGGGTAACCTTATTCGACTAATCCTTGAAATACTTCATTCTTTTGATTTTTCTGTATTTTCTCGAAGTTTCCAAAGGAAAGGTAAACCACCAATTTCTCATATTTCGAGTCTAGCCATCGGAGATGACGTTTCTCGATCGGAATCCTGAATAATATAACAGACGAATGGTCCTCCGTTTCCCCGAGTTTAATGGTCTGACGGAGTTTTAATGTGATATGGTAGTGATTTAATTGATTCTTCTTCTGTTGATTATATGAATGGGTTTGGGTGTTTTTCTAGGGTGTCTATGTCTTCTTGAAAAACATAAGCATATCGATGGGCGGGCATGAGAAACAAAAAGATTTGTTCGTGTTTTGTTTTTTACAAGCAATGGACATGTTTGCGTAAGTGTTATAGAGATTTGTTTCGTTCTTGAACATCAATATCCTAGAAACCTCCCTTTGATTGGATTTTTGATTTATTATGTTTATCTTTATTTTTGAATTTTAGGTTTGTTTTCATCATGTTCATCAGATGACGAACATGGTTTGAATTATGGGTTGTGTTTATCAATAATCCATAACCGACTTAAATTTGATTATCAATAATAATAATAATAATAATAATAATAATAAATTTTAAAATATAAAAAATAAAAAAATTTATGTGGAAGTTGAAGGTTGTCAGAATTAGCCTACATGTCACATATGAGGGTTACATGTTGAACATGGTATACTGTGTCACATAGTGACAAAATGGAAAGATTGGGAACTTATTTAGTAGGATTAGAACTTTAATGGTCATATTGTGATAATATTGGAAAAGTCAATACTTAAATTGCATATCAAATTGTAATTCTAGATCAAATATAAAATAAATGATACATTAAGACTAACTATGCAAGAAATTAAAACTATAAGAATCATTCGTGGCAAAAATTAATTAGAAACCAAACTGAATTTGTTTTTTATAACTATACAGTCTATTTATATAATTTAATATTTATATTGAATATATTGTTCAGTATAAAACTATTCTCTAACAAAAACATTTCAAGAATATACTCATACTGTCTCGCAAAAAGCAATATTGAGTCGTTATCTTATTTCATAAAATCTTAGACTAATGATGAAACTTGAAAATATCTTGTGTAATGAAGTAATTTCCGAATAAAAACAAGACGTAGTTGATGGCTACAAATGAGTCTGGGCCCACTTGCTTATATGTGATATTATAATTTTGGACTTTTTTTGGAGGTTAATTCTCCTCTTTATCGTTACTTATTTATATAATTTAGATAAAATATTTATCAACAGGAAAATATTTTAATAAAATTTAGTTATCATCAGACAACACTATCATATTTTATCAATAATATCTTTTATTCAATAAATTAACAATTATAAAGTTTGAACTAATGAATAATATTTTCATCAAACACATAAATAATCAAGATATTCGATGTAGCAAAATTATAGATGATAAAAAAAAATAAATTAGAATGGCTTCTTAACTGTTCCATTCAAATGCAACATGAATGGATTGGCTATTAAGAACGTTTGATTCATCAGATTTTAGTCTCTAAATTGGACAGAGACATCTAAATAGTTTATCCAAAAAACATTATATCTATCGTTTAGACATGTATCATTTAGTTGGTGACAAATTACACCTCTCTAAACCCTAAAACTATAAGTTGTCGCCCTCACCACCACTACACTCATCCACCACCTCTATCGTCGTTCTCGTCGACCTCTATCATTATTGTCGACGCCCTCAACTTTCACCATCTTAACAACTTTAAATAAAAAAAGTAGCAAAAGCTAGAAAGTTACATTTTCGAAGTTGCTAACTTAGGATTTTGCAACGAGCCTATCCAAATAACACAAATTTTTGTTTTCCTGGCAGTAATAAAGAAAATGATGAGAAACTTTAAAATCCCATAAAACCGTCTTCAAAGGCCTATTATTATTATTATTATTATTATTATTATTATTATTATTATTTTGAATTTTTTTAGAACAACTATTATTATGGATTATTGATAAACCATATCCAAATTAATTATGGATTATTGATAGACACAAACCCAAAATTCAAACCATGTTCACTATTTCATGAAAATGATGAACCCAAACCTAAAATTCAAAAATAAAGATAAACATGATGAATCAAAAAGTTCAATTAAGTATGGATTTTAGGACAATGTTCAAGAACAAAAATTAGAGTGTAAGAAACAAAACATAAACAAATCTCTATAACACTTATGCAAACAAAATCCATTGCTTGTAAGAAACAAAACAAAAACAAATCCCTCGTACCCACCCATCGATATGCTTATGTTTTTCAAGAACACATATGAACCATAGAAAACACCCAAATTCATTCATTATAATCAACAATTTTGATGGTTTAGAAGAAGAATCAAATGAATCACTACCAAATCACATTAACACTCCGTCAGACCATTAAACTCATATGAAACGGAGGAGCAGTCCTTCGGTGATACTATTTAGGATTCCAATGGACAAAACGTGTCTCCAATGGATAGACTCGAAACATGATAAATCAGTGGTTTACATTTCCTTTAGAAGCTTGGAAAAATACATAAAAAATCAAATAAATGATCGAATTAGGTTACTCATTTTTTGGTTATATGCAATCAAGGTGAGGATGATGAAGAGTTGAGGCGTTACACGGCAGAATACGATAGGTTAATAGTGAGATGATGTTCATATTTTGAGGTTTTAAACCATGTGTCGATGTTTGGTTGTCTATAGGATGGCTATCAGAAGATGGATGCAAATATGGTAGACGAAGTATGGGGAATGGGGTGAAGGCGGTGGCGGACAATGAAGGTGTAGGGGAATGGTTACCAATGTCACGTTGATACCAATATACCACGTTGATACCAATATAGCTACGATTTAAAAAATCTAAACAACAAACGGATGGGCTTTCTAGGTTACAACAAAAGGATTTGCACAACGGAATTTACACATAAAGAATTATGGGCACATGTAACCTAGAACTTCTATGACATTTTCTCTAGTTATAGCAACATAATTTAGGAAACTAAAACCTAGCTATGAAAATCGAAAATCATAACACAAGAAAACATACCTTTTTACTGTTGGATTAGTGTCTAAGCCCGTAACTATATTTGGTAAGTACTTGATCCGGTTGTGCATGGTCCTTTTGGGTTGCCTTCACCATAGCAACTTGACAAGGTGATTTATGAAGAGAGAGAGAGAAGATAATATGATTTATTAATATATTATGAGAATAATATATTAAAAGGAATAATCATATTATTTAATTAATATTGGTCATAGATTAATTAAGAATTAATTTGGTGACTAAAAGAGATTAATTAAATAAAGGGGACTGGAACTGTCAATTGTGTGATAGTTGATTTTGGGCTGTGGATCCTTATGGATTAAAGGGTGGACGAAATTAAGGTATATGGACTCCTTGAATTCGTCCAAGCCTTATTCTAGAGGGATCATTGGACTGCTTAAGGCCTAAGTTATCCAATTAGGGTTTCAGGATGTAATCCTAGCAACTTAAGTATTTAAAGACCCCAAGGGCTACAGAAATTGGCTACCATAAACCCTAAGGAGTTCCTAGAGTCGATTTTGTGCCTACAATCTCTCTCCAAATCATCCTTTTGCTAGTTGGTGTTTGTAAGCCATTAGAGGAGTGACAATTATGACTTTAAGCTCCAAGAACAAGAAGATTCAAGCAAGCAACAAGAGGTAATCATCTAGATCTGATTTGTCTCATTAATCTCGAATTATACTCACTAGATCTAGGGTTTGCAAGACTTGGATAAATTGCATGTTCAATTAGAGAAACCTAGTCCAAGCATTAGGGTTTGCATGTGCACATAGGAAAGTTCTTATGGCTCAAACCCATCAGTGGTATCAGAGCCTTGATTGGTTTCTATTGAATTGATGCATTGTTTATTTGTTCAAGCCTTGAAAAAATCGTTTTTTCTGCCCCCTGACTGACAGACTCGGCAAGTCCCATTGTGGACTCGACGAGTAGGATGAACTCGACGAGTCCATAAAGGGACTCGGCGAGTCAGAGCGTCTGTCAGAGTGATTTTCGGGATTTCTTGCTGTTTTGCTTAAGGATTCTTGCCTAAATCGTTTTGGTTTAATAAAATCCGAATTTTATCACCTATTTGACAATATCCTCATCAAAACAAAAGATAATTACCAATTGTTTAAATAATAATTTCCTTATTTGATAATAATTGATTATTTGAATTAATTGATGAATTATCTTGCAAGTAATATTGACTAGGTCAAATTTAGATAATCATTAAATTAATTGGTTAATTTATATTATTTGCTATTTGATCCTTTGTGTTTTGAAAAGTTCAAAACTTGTCCTCAAGTTTTGAAATTTAAGTTTTGTGATTAAAAGTTTTAATTTGAACTATTTAAATTTCAAACCTTAGAATTTTACAAGTTTTAAAATTCA